TATGTGTGTATATCCCGCCTTTTCTCTCTCTCTCTCTCTCTCTCTCTCTCTCTCTTTCTCTCTCTTTCTCTCTCTTTTCGTACTTATTTATTGATACCCAAACCTATTACATTTGTTCTACTGTGTTAATAATTAACGGTAAACTAATTGATTATTATATAATTATACAGATAGATTTCAAAGGAAATTCGTAATGATGATATATATATATGTATCTTCGATAGTTTTATTTATTAATTGAAAATTAATGGTTTTAATTGAAATTGATAATCATTCATTGCATAAACGTTTTGTTTGTTTAAATCTACGATTCTTATCATATGACTTTTTTTTTTTAATTTTCATAAACGTGAATAATAATTTATTATTTTCTATTATTTATTATAATTATTAAAAAGGTATATATTTTTTTTTTTTTTCTTTACGACTGATTTAAATATCATCACGTAATAGTTCATCGAATAGTCGATAATACGAAGTATTGTATTATCCTCTTGTGCATGTTTCTCGAATATAAGCATTTATATACCTGATAATCCTTCGGCCGTTAGTAGCATAATCCTACGATTTTGCACCGACGGCATTCGATTAACGGCGGATAGCACATATATCGAATAAGGTAATCCTTTACTTAGCATTTATGATAACAGAAAAAAGTAAATAGAAATAAAAATATGAAATAATATTTATTTATAGAAAAACATACGATATACGATTTTTTAATAAATACATATTGAGTTTTGATCATATAAAAAGTACTATGATTTATTTATTAATAATGTACATATATATAATTATATATAATATACTTATTTATTAATAATATATATATGTGTGTGTGTGTGTATATTTATTCGATTATTTCTTAAAATTTTATTATAATTACAGCTTTTTCCCTTTTGTTTAGAAAAACAAGAATAGTGATCATGCTAAACGACTTTTTTGATTAAAATTGCGAATGTAACAAATGAGATAATGAAATTAATATTATCTATATTTTCGAATAAATCGTAAATATATATATATATATATATATATATATATGTATATATATAAATATATATATTATTATTGCTCGATTTTAGAGTTGGTTTGGTAAATTACAAACTGCTGTCCTATTTTGTATATTTCGACGCCAGATGCTTCATATCAGTGGCTATTCCACAGTACCTCGATAACCATTTCTACAGATTATATATCGAGCTCTATTTTCATAAATATGAGATACGAAGTTTACTTCATTTTAAATTGCTTTGTAAATTCTGTAAATTCTCTACTGTTAATTTGAACATGATAATGCGTTAATTTAATCGATATACCTTAAAATGAATATTTCGTAAATTCATATTCATAAAAATATAAATAAAATATTTCACATTCATAAAATAAATATTTAAAAAAAAACCTACAGGGAGAAAGAGAGAGAAAGAGAGAGAGAAAGAGAGAGAGAGAGAGAGAGAGAGAGAGAGAAATATATTTTTAAAAAACAATGTCGAACGAAAGATAATCTTTTAATTTGATATTATAAAAATGTACGAATAAGTATAAATGAATTCAATTGAATCCTCTAGAGAAATTAAGGACTGACAAATAAAAATCATCACTTACTGATCGAGATCGTGAAAGTCGAATACCCTGAGAGAAAATATTATCTTTTTATATATTCGGATGTAATCCCGCTTCTGTCCCGGATGAACATAATTTAGGATCTCACGTGCAGCAGTAAGGACACTTTAGTCGCAGATCATTGTCATAAACGTACGGAGGGTGAAGAATTTACGCGAAGGTCAGGAATTCTGACAGAAGCATGCACATAAAGGATGTTTAATTAAAATGTATTAAATGTTTTTTTCTCGAGTTAATAACGAGTTTTTTATCAATGTTTTATGAACGAACACAAATGGTTATTACCATGTTTATTAAAAAGGACAACGTAAAAAAAACAAGAAACAGGAAACAAAAAGAAAAGGAGGAAAGTAACAATTGTTTAGTTTTGTTATAGTCGCGATTATTTTCATTTGCAATCGCCATTTCAATCTATATTCTTTGATAGAAGATAGTAATCAAATTGATTTAGTTTTCAATACTTCTGTAATAAAACGTAACGTATATGCATTTCGTAACGTTATAACGATTAATTGAAAATTATCCATGATTATCTGCAGCTTCGTTCCTTTTTTTTTCTTTTTTTATTTTTTTATTTTTAATTTATTAACTATTCTGTTTAATAATTATAGACTTTGTCGTCTGATCTATAACTGCGTTAACCGACGGCGTCTATCGTAATTATATATTTTCGATAAATAGTTAGGTACTTTGTGTTGTCATCAAACATTATCGATTTTCTTTGAGTGACAATCTGAAACTATGAATATTACAAACTAATATTCCCTTTTTCACCTTAATTATCTACGATCATAAAGTTAGTGAATGCTTTAACGATAACCAATGAACATTTTGTAAATAAGTGTATTCTATAAACTTTTACATATACATATAT